AAGTATTGCAATTACATTTTAAAACATTTCATGAAAAGTAAAAATCTCAAAGTATTGGGTACAGGCTTTATATACTGTGTATGGTGATCAATGTGGTTCTCTAAAAGTGCACAGCGCCTTAAAGCTATGTTTCTTACAAACTACTGTTTAGATAACTTTTGTCGTATGTTTTCTTACAAATGTGTATGAATATATGTGTGTGATATACTAATAACTTTTATTTCCATTGTACAATGAAGTACCCTATACATATGCTAAAAAACAATGTCAAAAAAATGATAAAAAGTGACATCTAAGAGACTCTTTATTACAGTTTGTCTTTCGCTATGGAATATGTTACAGATCAGATTCCTAGTTCCTTACAGTTCCTACTGGGTTTCTCTCAATTCCTCTGCCTTTTGGAGAGGATATATTCTTAAGACTTCTTCACTTTGGCAAAATTTTCAACCAATAAACCATCTAGCAAATGATCTAGATATAATAAATTGTGCTCCAGTGTATGACTGCTGGGAGATCCAAATTGGTGGAGAAATAATCAGGATGTGTAGTTGAATCTTGGTAGAAGATTTCTTCACAGGAATTTGTGACAATGATGCAAGTAGGTTTAGATATAATCCTTGTTGTCTTCAACACTGTCATAGTGACCAAATGTGTGAAAGTGCTTGGTAGTTCATGCATATAAAAGGTTGATAAAACATATAATAGAGTCACTTAACGCCATGCTGTTCAGAGGCGTTTTCTCTGTTGGACATAGACAGCAGAAGTAGCAGACACATTCATTTGGCTTTTCCTTCTGTTTCCCACTGTAACTATGGAGATTGATTGGTAGTTGACAAAAAATCTTCAGGATGGGTGTTAGATTATCTGGAATCTTTATGATTCCTGGCAGCTTCTTCTCATTGGATATTGATGTACCTAGCAGCTAATTTTCAATCACCACCTCATTCAGCCCTGGGTTATCACTAAACATCAATACCGATAGAGATAGATTAACCACCAATGGTGTTAGAGCTTAGTGCTCCTAAAATGGGTTAATCTCAACTGAAATCTTAGGTGTTAAAGCTTTTTTCGCTATACCCTTGTATCTGATCTAGCAACAACTTCCAGTTTTATACAAATCATGACTTTGGTAGCATACACACTTTAAAATTTAAATCAGAAATGAGATAATCAGTACTATACATTATTAGACTATGCAACTTAAGTAGGGAGGAGAATCAGCACTTGTCACTTGTGCTTGTGGTACTTCAGATAACCAGGTTTTTACAATAGGCGTAAGCTGGTTACTACTTCACTGGTTGCGAACCAAGACCCTTCCTTTAGACGCTAATGTTAAGTAAAACACAATAAATTAAAATGAGGTAATAAACTGGTTCCTCCCTCAGAATTGTCTATATCGAACCCATACCCATGGTGAACACACAGTGCAATAAAATTGTGTACTAGAACTTCTGTACTGAATACTGACTGGTCAGCAACGTCACATCCCATTGAATGCTCTTTCCTGATTCCTACAAGCACGATCATGGTCAAAGATATTTCTAGCACTACTTAAATCAAACTTATTTCATATTTATTCCAAAATGGCTAAAACGTTGACCAATCGTATATGGTTTCGTTATAGTGAAAACTTTCACCTGTAAAGTTTCATTTATACAATTTAGAATATCTTCCACTAACTAAACTTAGTATCTTGATCTGTCTTACGTGATTTCATTATTTTCTATTATACCTAGCTGGATACAAACATAACCTAGAAAATTACACATACACTCTTACATCTGTCTTTATGTACTTCTCTATTCTTCTGATTAGTATGACTCTGAATTTCAACAGATGACTTATTCAAGTATATATGGTTGCATACATTAACAACATATATTTGTAAATACAGACTTGGTTATAAATGAACGAAATACACAGTAAGCATGCAGCAGTAAAGCAAAAAACCTGTCAAAGTTGACAATATACATAGTAGCCGAAATGGGTGTACTACCATGCCATCTCGGGTCTGAAAAACAATGTAATAGTAAATGTAGCGATTTTAAGAGCCACATTTTATATTACACTCATGAGCACTGATGACATTGTTCTACATGTTTACTCTCTCTAAGATGGTCCCCCGGTGGGACAGTGGTAAGTCTACGGATTTACAATGCTAAAATCAGCGGTTCGATTCTCCTCGGTTGAAACAACAGATATGGCTTTGCTATGAATACATATTAATGTTTTTAATGTCTCAAGTGTTTTCTCTCTCAGCTCCTACTTACCATTACACAGTAGTTATATTAATCAAGCGTTTCTCGTAATGTATAGAAATCATACTATATGGTGAAATATCACTCAATAGTTTGTAAAGTAAGAAACACAGTTCCCTTTTAATTTTAGTTCAAACAAAGTTTATCTTAGCTAATGACATTTATTTATTAATAGCTTTAACATACTGAGGAAGATAAAATCATTGTGGCAGTTTCTCTAAACAGACCTTCTTCTAATCCTTCTTCTAAACAATCGGAAAAGTACTTGTAACATTAAACTTCAGTCAATGATACTGTTTTTCTTGTTTTGACTTAATTTTGATCTGTTTATCATGCTTTGACATGTAGTGCGTCTACTAAATTTCGTAGTTCAATAAGTGAGTTGTCAAATAACGAGATATGGTTCAGTCCACCCACATTTGAAAGGTTAACATGTTGCAGACGTATACCATAGCGATATAGGGTACACAAGATTGAACTTCTCAACATAATGTAGTCCTGAAATCATGACAAATCTCCCAGTATAATAGAAGTGTGAAGTCATGACTAACAAATATATGAAGATAATTAAAGTCATGTCAGGTATAGTATTCTCACTACTTAGATTCATATGACCGTCACACCAAACATGCTCGCCCTTTCAGCCGTGGGGGCCTTATAATGTGACGGTCAATCCCACTATTCGTTGGTAAAAGAGTAGCCTAAGAGTTGACGGTGGGTGGTGATGACTAGCTGCCTTCCCTCTAGTCTTACACTGCTAAATTGGGGACGGCTAGCGCAGATAACCCTCGTGTTGCTTTGCGCGAAATCCATAACAAACAAGATCCCTATGAATATTGAACAAAAAAAAATATCTGAGATATGTATAATTTATCATAAACACATTAGCTTACTAAAATCACAGTCTGTATGAATAAGTATCTACACTTATTAGATAATTATTGAAGGATTTTTGTGTTTGGAGTTCGTAGAATGAAAGAAGCTTCGTGCAAAAGTTTTTGATTTGAACGTGTTCGAATTACATACATATTTCCATGGTGCAGTATTCATGCTATAACATCTTTAATTTAGAAAAAAAAAACGTTTTGATACTGTTCAGCATCCAATTGTCTCCAGCGACAGTTGTTATTGCGATTTTATGTTTATCTTGCGAATCCCCGTCACACCAAACATGCTCGCTCTTTCAGCCGTGGGGGCGTTATAATGTGACGGTCAATCCCACTATTCGTTGGTAAAGGAGTAGCCCAAGAGTTGGCGGTGGGTGGTGATGACTAGATGCCTTCCCTCAATCTGCGCTTGGTATGAGCTTGTTTTTGTTTGTTTGTTTTTTGAATTTCGCGCAAAGCTAAATGAGGGCTATCTGCGCTAGCCGTCCCTAATTTAGCAGTGTAAGACTAGAGGGAAGGCAGCTAGTCATCACCACCGCCAACTCTCGGGCTACTCTTTTACCAACGAATAGTCACGGCTGAAAGGGCGAGCATGTTTGGTGTTACGGGGACTCGAACCCGCGACTCGCAGATTGCGAGTCGAGCGCCCTAATCACCTGGCCATGCCGGGTCAATAGCAATAATATATTCCAAATTCATTCATATTGCACATTTTTATAACAAAGTGTTAAAACAAAGATATTTTTGCTGTTATTTCATATTTTTTTAAAAAGAAAACGTTAACAAAAACCTGTGTTTCAACAGAATGTAAATGATATAGTCTTATCCTAGGAGGACTCGTGTATATCAAATGTGAAGGAACATCACATGACGTGGCTTTTCAGATGATTCCCAGAAATCATGAAACAGAATGTACTGAAGGACAAGTTTGGTTTCTTTTGAATTTCGTGCAAAGCTGAACAAAGGCTATCTGCGCTAGTCGTCCCTAATATAGCAGGGATAGACTAGAGGAAAGGCAACTAGTCAACATCACCCACCGCCAACTCTTGGGCTACTCTTTTTACCAACGAACAGTGAGATTGACCGTATCATTATAATGCCCCCACAGCTGAAAGGGCGAGCATGTTCAGCGATGGGAAGTCGAACCCGCAGATTGCGAGTCGAGTGCCCTAACCACCAGGCCATTAAGGAGCAAGATACAAATAATCAGAAGCTTATTAAAGCTATAAGTGTTTGAAAGATGTGTGTGCCAAATACGAGGTCAATGTTTTACAATATTTTAAAGGAACAAAGTATGGAAACCAATGGTGAAACACTTGAAGACAGTTTATACAAAAAAAGTTGTGTAAACCACGCAGCTCACAAGTATAGCCGTGTTGTGTATACCATGCAGCTCGCAACTACAGCCGAGTTGTGTATACCATGCAGCTCGCAACTAGAGCCGTGTTGTGTAAACCTTGCAGCTTGCGCATTTTTTATATAAAATATTTTACCTATTTACTTACAGATAAGCTAGTTTTTATTATAGTAGAACAACAAACGTTTCTTTCTATCAGAAAATGAATGCTATTTTATAAAATGGCCATGAAATTTTAAATTGAGTTTATGTAGATGACTGTGTTTATTGTTAGAAAGGCTTGAGAACGAAACCTTTCCCTCTCCTTCGTCCCCGCTCTAATATAACATATTGAGTTATTTTATGTAATACAGAGACATTCGTAAAGGGTGTTTCATGGAATAAATTCCAGTAAGCAGGTTTTAAATTTAATATCTTTAGTAGTTTTTACTCGTGATGTTTTCTGTTGGTAGAATCTGCTGGCTAGATTTGTAAATTAAAATATTTCCCATTCTGTAGAAAACATGATACTGACTAACGAAGAACTGCCAGGACAAGGACTAATTCTGAAGGTTCCTGAACCTTTGGAGTTGATGTGCAATACAACCGAGGATAATTCTTTAAACGTCACTTGGTAAGTGTACGAATGTTACTAGTTTAAATCATAGCTTGGTAACGTATGATTTTATCGGATTTATTTTTAGGCATATTTCTCACTTTCTGAATATGGCTTGAAATGCTTAAAATATCTATTTGAATAAGTCTTATTGCATAGAGTTTAAAGTACGAATAAAAATGTAACTTTAATACAATTAACACAAGATATGTTGTCTTATAGTAGCTTAATATTATCAGTAGTACCAGGTTCTTAAGAACAAAAAGAGCATGTTACTGTAATATTTTTTACTAAACTACTGATCCAGTTCCTTCAAGTACTTACTAATAACTATATGAACTAATATTTTTACTAAACTACTGATCCAGTTCCTTCAAGTACTTACTAATAACTATATGAACTAATATTTTTTACCAAACTTCTGACTCCTTTCTTTCATGTCCTTAATAATAACTACGTTAACTAATATTTCTTACTAAACAACTGACAACGTTCCTTCATGTACTTATTAATAACTATATGATCTATATCACAGGAAACCAGAGTTAAACAATGGCCTTATTTGCCTAGCGTACGAGAGTTGTCCGAAAAGCTCCTTACCCAACCTAAACAAAAATTGGAATGTATGATTTTTTTGAACGTTTTTATGATTAAATAACCCGTAACGAGTTTATTCTGTGTAGTGTGAATTTTAGAAGGAAAGAACTGAGCAGTGTTAAACATTGGAGAAGATTGAACTTCGTGTCGTGATCAAATATTTTGTTAAAAAGAATATGACTCCGCAAGAAATCCACCAGGACATGGAAGCAGCGCTAGGAGAGGGTGTTTCGGCATATTCAACAGTGAAAATGTAGTGTGATGGCTTTAAGCGCCGTTGACATCGACCACAACAGTAATTGTATACAAAGTTCATGAGTTGGTTATGTATGATAGAATAATTACCTTTATGAAGTTAACAGAAGAATTTGGAATCGATAAAAGTATTGTAGCAAGCATTCTGAAAAACAGTTTGGGTATGAGTAAGTTTAGTGCCAGATGGGTTCCAAAAATGTTGTCACCTGAGTAGAAACGGATCCAAGTTGTTGAAAGTCAACAACTACGACAAAGGTTTGAATAGTCTATGGATGAAACGTGGGTTCACCACTTTTACTCAGAGACAAAAATGCTATTTGATTATTTATAAGTAGGTCAAAAAGTTACAGGAGATTACTATGCATCCTTAATCAACTATTTACGTCAAGAATTCAAGAAAAAGAGAAGAGGAAAAAGTGTGCTCTTTCATTAGGAGAATGCCTCATCTCACATACCGCGTGTTGCTACTTATAATGCTGGCTTCGAATTACCCCCCTTACTCATCGGATTTACCTTCAAGTGACTTTTTTCTCTCTTCCCTAACCTTCTTTCCGGAAGGTTGAAGGTTTCATAATGATGATGATCTCGTACATATCTCCTAGTCATGGACTGAGGATCAAGAAGAATCTTGTACATATCTCCTAGTCATGGATTGAGGATCAAGAAGAGTTATTTCAGAAGGGCCTTAGAGCATCACAGGCGCAAGTTTATAAATCGTAGTTGAACCAGTGACTCTTTTCTTTATAGGTCGGGCCACGAACTTTTCGGACATCCTTCGTATAAGTACGAAAAGTTTTAACTTACTTACTTCTATACCTTACTTACTTAACCTAAAAATCGAAAAGAAAATACACGGAAATTAAAGCCAAAATAAAACATCTTCAAGCATCAATTATTCGTGAATTATCCTCAGGAATTTCAAATTGTATAAAGTTAAACGATATCTCGTAAGATTTGATTCAAAACTTCTGCTTGTACAAATTAAATATTCTGTATCGTGTTTCTACGAGTATCAGGTAGAAATACCCTTATAGGTAGCTATTGAATACTCTCCACACCCCTCTTTTAACTATTAACAAAATACGTTGTTTACAAGTAAGATTAGAACTCATTTGTATTTAGAAGATTCTCTTAAAAAATAGGATAAATCGCGTGTAGAGATATTAAAAGCACAGAGAACTGAAAAGAGAACTGATAGAATACTCTAATAGTTTATATAGATAAATGATAAGGTTAAGTATACTTTTACAAATGGGATCCGCCCGATTGTCTACATCTCTACAACTGTTATAATGTGAAAGGTACTATTTTACTTCTACAAAATTGATCAGTTGATTGACCACATTCAGAGAAAATAATGTGGTTTCATCACTATAAGCGAACAGCCCACTTTTACAAAAGGTATCAACCGATAGACTATTTTCTGACCAAACAGTGTTTTTACTACTGTAGTAAGATAGAAAGTACCTTTCTATTTTTTTACAAATGTTGTAAGGTTATCAACTGACTGATTATTTTCTGGACAAATAGTGTGTAGACAATTGTTATAAGGTAGAACGCACTTCTACCTACATTATCAATTTTTCTAATCGAATAGTATTTAACAACCATGCAACCATTTACTAACCATTAACTAATGCGTTTAGATAAGTGTTTTAAGGTAGATAGAAATATATCAACAGACTAACTACCTTCTGTAGCAGATTGTTTATTTAGTGATGTTACAATTCTACTTTTACCAAAGTTATCAACCAACTGGTTAATATCTGACCAAATAATGTGTTCAATGACTAAAGAGGTGTTCTCTACTCTTAACAAAATTTCAAACCACGGGCTGTTTTCTGCCTAGATAGTGTGCTTCGGCAACTGTTGCAACTCTGGCTACTATTGTACTTTCGTAAAAGGTAAAAACTGGCTAACCATTTTCTAGCCAAAGTGTATTTTGAGAATGTACTTGCTATATATATTTAATTTTACCAAAGTTACCAACCGTCTATTTTCTGACCAAATGATATTGTTTTATAAAAGTCATCATATGAATAACTTGTGTTTTATTTTAATGATTCTAAGTTTTAGAAAATTACCAAGCGATTGCCAATTTCATGTCCAAATAATGTATTTGAAAAAAAAAGTGTTATATCTTCAGTTTCTTCTTTTATAAAGTTATTAACCTATTGGTCACTTTCTGGTTAAACAGTGGATTTGTTAACTATGTATCAGGTAGAAAGTTCTATTTTAGTCCAGCAGTTATGAAACCCTTATTTTCCGACTAAGTAGCGTACTTGGACACAACTGTTGTAAGGTAGATATCATTAACATTCTTTCACAAAAGTTACTAACCCACAGACCACTTTCTAGCCAAACTGTATGTTTAGTCAAAAATGAAAATAAGCGATTCTTCTTTTACGAAAGTTATCAACCAGTACCCTTTTCTGATGAAACTGTTATATATAAAGTAGAAGGTGATGGTCTGCTTTTAGGAAATGTTATTAAACGGCTACCTAGATATATATGTATTGTAGCGAAATAAATGTGTTTAGCGACTGTCAAATTATTTCATTAGAAGATAGTCAATCGGTTGATAACTCTTTCTAATATATAAATGTGTTTAGCGACTGTCAAGCTAGAAAGAGTTATCAACCGATTGACTATCTTCTAATGAAATAATGTGTCTGTTATAAGGTATGAGGCACTACTCTAACTTTACAAAAGTCATCAACATCATCTATAAACTAAATGGTGTTATCAGGTATACGTACTATTCCACTTTTACCAAAGCAATCAACCAACTTTTTCTGAACACATATAGTCGGATATCTGTATATGGAAGTGCTAAGGATCTTGGGAATTTATTCGAGATATCAAAGGATCGGGATAGCCGATGTGAGACCTTGACCTTAGTTTTCATCAATGATAAATCTAAAGTTTTAAATACAATAAACGTTAAAGGTAATGGAAGAGAAATCACCCAAGTGTAACATATTGATGTTCAACTGAGTGATTTTGGAAAAGTCTTAAGGTATTACTTGACACTAATTATTCACCGTCTAACTTTTGACAAATAGTGTTTTGTGACTTTTAAGAGAGAGAAAGTATAATTCTACTTTTACCAAAGTATTCAATCAAGTTACCATTTACTATCAAAGTGGGAGCTTCGAAGACCATTATATATTAGGTTTATACTACTTTCTTAGAGTTATTGAACAAAAAATGCTTTCAGACAAATTATAAGGTGAAAGGTACTACTTGACATTTATAACAGTCCTCAGTTGGATATCCATTTTCTAACCAAATAGTGTTATGCAACTGTTATAAAGTAGAAAGTACAATTCTACTTTTCCAAAATTTATCAAACAAATTACTACTTTCTGACCAAATAATGTGTTAAAGCTAGTTTTACAACTTATAAATTACCTACTTTTCTATATTTACAAACTTTAACAACTTAATAACTATTTTTTAACGAATAGTGTTTTTAGATAAATGGTATGAGGTAGACGATAAAATTTTCTTTTATAAATGTTATGTTTAAAATGAGTACATTTGTTTTGAATTTCGCGCAAAGCTACACGAGGTCTGTTTGCGCTAACCGTCCCTAATTTAGTAGTGTAAGACTAGAGGGAAGGCAGCTAGTCATCACCACCCACCGCCAACTCTTGGGCTACTCTTTTACCAACGAATAGTGGGATTGACCGTCACAATATAACGCCCCCACGGATGAAAGGGCGAGAATGTTTGGTGTGACGGGGATTCGAACCCGCGAGTCGAGCGCCCTAACCACCTGGCCATGCCGGGCCTAAAAAAAAAGTATGAGTACCTTCTTACAAAACATGGCGGCTTTAAGGTAATAAATACTATTATGTTATTAAGATTCATCAACGGACTTACCACTTTCTGACCAAATAGTTTTAGAGATACTAAGGTAGAAACTAAAAATAGCATTCTACTTTTAGAAATGTTATCAAAGGTTTGACCAATTTCAAACCAAATAGTGTTTAAAAACTACTAAGGTAGAAGCTAAAAGATAACATTCTACTTTTAGAAATGTTATCAAAGGTTTGACCAATTTCAAACCAAATAATGTTTAGAGACTACTAAGGTAGAAACTAAAAATAGCATTCTACTTTTAGAAATGTTATCAAAGGTTTGACCACTTTCAAACCAAA